AAATTTATATTTGCTACAATATTCAAATGACTTCAGCATTTACCCATTGAAACTACCATCACATTTTTCAGTAAAATTGATGGTTCAGGATGGAAGGGTTTGTGTGTCATGGTTTGGGTAGCATGGACACAAGCAAATCCTTTACTACAAAATAGATGTTTGGCAATTTTGAATCTGTAATTGAGTTGAATGGTGTTGTATTAGTTTTTTGTGGCCACACAATGAACTGCTGCAAACTTAGCAACTTAATATAAAATAAATTCATTATCTCACAATTTCTGTAGTCCACACACAGGCTAGCTGGATTCCCTGATTAGGGTTTTGTCTAGCTGAAATCAAGGTGATCACCAAGGCTTCAGTCTTCATCTGAGCTTGGGAGTCCTCATCCAAGATGACTGGTTGTTGGCAGAATAGACTTCCCTGCAGTGTGTAACTGCGTTCCTGTTTCCCTTCTGGCTGTCAGCTGGGATCATTCTCAGCTCCTAGAGGTTGTCTGCAATTCCTGCAAATGATGCCTCTGTAGGCAGTTCACAAGGATGTTTGCTGTCTCCCAGGGCCAGTTGGAGCATCTCGCTGATTTCGTCTTCTGGAACCACCAGAGAATACTCTGTCTTTTAAAGTGCTCATGTAATTATGTCAGGTCTACCCAGATAATCTCCCTAATTACAACCTGTATTACATCCAGCAGTAATTGAATAACTGGGAAAAAGGTATGTGTACACCAGAGGCTGGGAATCTTGGGGACCATCTTCAGGTTTTGCCTACCACAGTGGGCCTTAAAAAAATTGCAGTGCTCTTTCTTTCCAGTCCCTGTGGAGGATCTGATGTTGTTGCTGAGCCCTAAAACCTATGGTAGCTTTGGGGCCTCTAGACTAGCAGGAACCACACATGTAGATGCCTTTAGGGGCTCAGCAGATTTCATAATCATGATAAGGTCATCATTAGTGACAACATCTATTTCAGTTTTGAGGACACTTCTTGATTCAGCCACAGGTCATTCAAAATTGCAAATATAGTCTCAATTCAAATTTAAAATGTGAAGTCTCATGTAGTAATCATGTAAATAATACTGTAATACTTGCTTATAATTCAGGACTCTCTCCTTACAAGCATGATAGACCTACATTGGGGAGAGGGGTGTGATTTTGATTATTTTCTTTTTCCATCCCTAGAGATTCCATTTTTGCCAAATAATGTAGTTGAAGATCAGGGAAGGAGAGGAAGAGAGAGGATCTGGAAAGGTCACACTTTCTGAGTACTGCACTCTGCCTGTGTCAGGTTTTTATACTGAACTCCTCTCATGGGCTTCCAGTTTCTCTTTGGAGAGCCTTCCCCCTACAGCCTCACTCAGACACTCCTTAAGCTTTGTGTCCCCACCCAAATCGCATCTTGAATTGTAATCCTCATAACCTCTATGTGTCAAGGAAGAGAGCAGGTGGAGGTAATTGAATCATGGGGGTGGCTTCTCCCATGCTGTCCTTGTGATAGTGAGTTGTCATGAGAGCTGATGGGTTTATAACGGGCTCTTCTCCCTTCACTTGGCACTTCTCCTTCCTGCTGCCTTGTGAAGAAGGTGACTTGCTTCTCCTTTGGCTTGCCATGATTGTAACTTTCCTGAGCCCTCCCCAGCCATGCTGAATTGTGAATCAATCAAGTCTCTTTACTTTATAAATTACTCAGTCTCAGGTAGTTTTTTATAGCAGTATGAAAACCGACTAATACATACACTCACACATCGCCAGATATCTCCAACTGGAAGATCTCTTAATACAGGCGAAGGACTCTGTTCTAACTCTTGCACATAAAGTTCTTAATTCAGCTTCCATGAATCTGGAAGATTTCCTCCAGCAATATTAATCTGTGGGGATTAGAGATTTGTTAGTGAAGTTTAGCATATTTTCTTTTTTGTTTGTTTTGTTTTTTAAATTTATTTTTATTTTATTTTATTTAAAAAAAGTTTTTTCCCATTTATTTATTTTATTGCATTTTAGGTTTTGGGGTACATGTGAAGAACATGCAAGATTTTTGCATAGGTACACACGTGGCAGTGTGATTTGCTGCCTTCCTCCCCATCACCTGTATCTGGCATCTCTCCCCTTGCTATCTCTCCCCAGCCCCAGTGTGCAGTGCTGCCCTCCCTGTGTCCATGTGTTCTCATTGTTCAACACCCACCTATGAGTGAGAACATGCAGTGTTTGATTATCTGCTCTTCTGTCAGTTTGCTGAGAATGATGGTTTCCCGGTTCATCCATGTCCCTACGAAGGACGCAAACTCATCATTTTTGATGGAAAGTTTAGCATATTTTCATATGTTTATGATACTTGCTTATGTAGTTTGACTAATCTATTTTATTGTTCATCTTTTTAAACTAATTTGTAGGTGTTCTTTCTATTTGCTAGATTCTAGTACATGACTTCTCTTAATTTTTCTATGAAGTTTTTTTTTTATCAAAGTTTTAAATGTTAATGTAGCTCAATTTACAAATTTTGCATCCCCTTTTCTCTCTTTTTTGAATTGGTAATATTTTATTAGTATTTAGCTTTATATTTTAGAAATCACATTTAATATGATGAAGTTAAACTTAATGAAAATCTTTTCCTAATTCTTAAAGGTGTGACAATTTTACATGTTGAATGTATTGCCCTCATGCTTTAAACAAAAAGAAAAATACTTTTAAAGTCACATGTATCTCACAGGTATACATTAATACCATTCTTAGTATTTACCTAGATTTACAAATAGTTTATTAAATAGAATAAAATGGCAAAATTCAAGGCTTTTAACAACAGAGTGGTAAAGTTCAAGTTAAATAAAAAACTAAAGTCACAAGAGTAGGAGAAGGAATGAACATTATTTTGCCTATGTCATTTAATTCCCATGAATTTGCAAAGTGAGTAGTAGTATTCTCAATTTCCGGAAGAATGCACTGAAATAGTTTGGACATTTATCCTCTCCAAATTTCATGTTGAAATTTGGAGGTGCATCTGGTGGGAGGTGTTTCCATTTTCTCGGTCAAAGAATTTAGCTTGTTTGATTTGAAGCTGAGATTTGAACCCAGTGTCCTTTCATTTCAAGCCCAGGTATTTACCATGATATCTCTGTGATCATCCAATTTATATGTTCCAGATATCTGTGCCATTGGGAAAAAACTGAAAAACTGTTCTTGTATGCATTATACCTCCTAAGGTTCAGACAGAGGTGCAAGTGCTCAGCAAAACACTTGCCACAAAGGCATTATTTTTTGTTTTGGCTTTGGGCTAAAAGAACATAGATAACAAGCAAATGCTTTTGAGCCCTTTAAGAAGTCTTATCTTGCTTTTAAACACCTATGATATCTTTGGCAATGACATTCTGCTTATTATTATTTTTAATGGCAGGTCAAGGCTCTTTTGTACTTTGATTGAGAGGTGTCAAGTGGGACTACAGAACTGTAAGGAAATAATCATTCTTGAGATGCCAATACTCCCACAAGAAATCTTTGCAAGCAATTTCAGCTTCCATCCAGAAAATCTGAATTTCAACTATGTTAGACCTCGGTGATATATTTAGAAAAACCAGCTGCAGAACATTGTTAAGGTAGTTATAAGGGTCTAAACATTTTAAAACTCTGTAAATTAGCTCAGTGGTTGTGTAGAATGGTGTTGAAGCAAGTATGATAATGTTGGCATTCCAAAGTTCATTAAGAATGTGTGTGCTATGGTCTAAATGTCTGCATTCCTCCAACCTCATGTTGAAATCCTAACTCCCAAGGCAATGGTATTAGAAAGTGGGGGCTTTGAGTGGTGATTAGGTGATAGTCACAGAGCCCTCATGAGTGAGATTAGTGCCCTTCTGAAAGTGGCCTGGGAGGGACCCTTCATCCTTTCCGCATGTGAGCATGGGACACAGAAAGATGGCACCGCATGTGAGCCGGCAAGTGCGCCCTCAGCAGACACTAAATCAGCCTTGATTTTGGAGTTCCCAGCTTCTAAAACTGTAAGAAATAAATGTATTTTATTTACATGCCTCCCAGTTTACGATCCTTTATTATTATAGCAGCCCAAATAAACTCAGACAGAGCGGGTGACCAAAAATGATCTTACATGGTTTATAAAATGCAAACCCTTCAGAAGAAACAATAGATATTTTGAGTTCACATAGTCCAGTGAAGCAAGACTATGCTAAGAAAGATGTTCTTCTGTTTGCTACTCAACACTGAAGATGTGGAAGAGTGGGAACATTTGGCTGGAAATGGCACCTAATGAAACAAACACCTGTTGGTGGGATGTAAACAGCTATAGGCATAAGACAAACTATCTCAGCCCTCCTGAAACTTGCAAGATCTACCTTCTCCATGAATGGCATTTATATCTTTGGAAATGCATGAGGCTTAATTTGGCCAAGAATAAATGTCTAAGTGTGCAAGAGTTAGATAATGGCAGCCACAGGGCACGATTTTAGATTAAAATAGTGGGCATTTATACACACACACACAGCAGTTGGAGGGAGAGTATGGCTCTTGGAAATTTTGAAGCAATCACTGTTTAAAGTTCATGGAAAATTCACTAAATCATTGTTTTGAGATTTGGGCTTCATATACCTTGTACCTCTCCTTCTTTACAGATCCTTAATGAATTGAAGACATTCAAGGAGGCAAAAAGGGATCAAAATGCGTTAGTTTTACTACTGGTCAAGTCAAACTGGAGGATATGGCTGGGCTTTCCATCTCCTTCTAAGAATCCAAACTGCAGGAGCCCAATTTATCTTCTCAGGAGTAGGCAGAAAGGCTGGACTACACAGCAGACACCTGATGGCTCTGGGCAAGAGGCAGCTAAGCCTGGACAATAAGGCAATCTAAGTGCCCTGGAGCCCCACCCAGCCCTGTTACCTTGGCCCCGCCTGTATTTTCACCATGCTCAGCTCTCATCACTCTCACCAAACAACACACACACAACACACACATTCTGCTGTGCCAAGTACAGGAAAAACCTCGCTTTTGATGACCAGGAGGCATTGTTGATTCTATGGGAATTCTATTTTAATTAAAGAAAAAAGTTCTTTCATTGCAAATACTTCCAGTTCCACAGCAGATTCTTGGCAGAAGTGTGTCACATGGAAAATCAACTGATTCTGCATATCCACGGTTAAAAGAATGATTTAAATAGCAGTGGAAAAAACAATAACAACATTAACAAAGCAGAATAAAATGTATTCTATATTACATTTATTATGCAAAGTGAGATGCAAAAAAATAATATTCTAAATTTTTTGAGGGTAAAACTAAGTCGTTAGTTGAATTTAGGAATTTTAAGCATCCATTCAAAAATCAAATCCAAATTGAAGGTGTAAGTATATGTAATTCCAAAAGCTTTCTCCATCTTTGTATGAATTATAACATTTCTTCTTTTGTCTAGGAAGTTAAGTTTATTGGTCAATATCTGGAGGATGAGAACTTTCTTAAATGATTTATGACATTTGTATATAAACATTATAAAAAACATAACTTTAGATTTTAATATTGATATATTCATAAATGGACTTTCCATTTTAAATATTTTTGTCTTCAGTGATTTCATATTATACTATACTTTTGATCCTTCTCAGCTGAGTATTTACACACATAATTGATTCTCTTATTGAAAGTTATCATTTTTCTGGGTATTATTTAAATTAATATACACCTTTCAAAAATAATCACATTTATCTTTTAAGCAACAGTAAGTATTGACAAACATCAAGATTTCCGGTATGCTACACTTATAAACATGTATACTTTTAGCAGTTAAAAAACACTGCCACTCTATTTGTAATTGTAGTGTTCTTATAGCTGGTTAATTTTTATTTTTATTTAATATATAAAGATGGCACATTGATTCTTTAAAACATGAATATGTATTTAAATGTTATTCTTAACTTTCTACTGAGAAGTGGTTGTTTGTACTTTGCCAGATGGAATTCTCTATCAAAGGGTGATTCTGGTACTTTTTGTAGACGGAGTCTTGCCCCGTCTTCCTGGCTGGAGGGCAATGGCATGATCTTGACTCACTGCAACCTCCGCCTCCTGGGTTCAAGCGATTCTCTGGCCTCAGCCTCCTGAGCAGCTGGGATTACAGGCACACATGCCCAGCTAATTTTTGTATTTTTATAGAGACAGGGGTTTTGCCATGTTGGCCAGGCTGGTCTTGAACTCCTGACCTCAGGTGATCCACCCGTCTTGGCCTCCCAAAGTGCTGGGATTACAGGCATGAGCCACTGCGCCTGGCCTCCATTCATATTTTCAATCCAATACCCAACCAACATAATTTTTAGTGTCAAGGAATCAGGGTCAAATTGCATTAGTTGTGATAACCAGATCAAACTCTTTGATCCCTAATAGAACATTTCCTTTGAGAAAAAATGAGATGAATTCGAACAATAGCAATTCACTGGTTGGAACTTTGATAAGCTGACCAACCTTGTCTAGAGACACTTGCCAGCTAATGATTCTAACACGTTACCTAGTCCACACAGTATCTCCTATTACTGAGAATACTTTTTATTTGAGTCCATCTTAAGGAACTCAAAATATGAGGCAATTTAAGTGCCCTGGAACCCCCCGCCCCCCACCAAGGGTTCATTGCTCATATCCTATTATCTCACTAGCATCATCTGCATTTTTTTTTTCATTTAAATCTTTGACTTCTCTTTGGTGTTGGTAAACATAGTTTTGCTGAGCTCAAAAGAAGAATGCCTGTAATGATATCCACTTTGAGTCATTGTACATGCTTGAAATCTAGGGATCTATCTCCAAAAAATGTAAGGCTTTTATTGGTTTGTGCAAATCAACACGTTGATACATGTCTAAAAGGAGTCTCATTGGTTTTCACCACTGTTTGCCATTTCCAGATATAAAATTAGGTGCTTAAGGAACAGCATTAATTCTCTGTAGCTACTCAGGTAACAGTATGTGTTTCACATGCCTCGGGAGCCCGATTTTTCTTAGCACAAAATCTGCTACGAGGGAGTAACACCATCAAGCGAGGGGCATCTAATACAATATTAATATTTGTAAAACAAAGCAGTCATGGAAAGATGTAGCTTTCAATTAGTTGTTTTAATTGGCGATTTATTTGAATATAATAGTATAAATAAAATGCATTACGTGTGCATATATATGTGGATAAGCTATTTACATTTTTATGTGTAGAAATGAAATTATATATTGACTAGCCCTTTTGAGGCTTTTGAACAACCATTTCATCTTCCCTCTTTCCTGCAACTGCTTTGAGGATTTAGATAATTCATACAAGGTATGTACACAATCACACCCATAGTATGTACATCCTAATCACACACTTAACACAGAGAGGATGTGTGAGGAATGTAAATCATCCCAGTGGTCAAAGAACTGACCTTACCTGTGACTAATGGCATGGTTAATTAGCCCTGGCATATTTAATAATATGCCAATGTACTGATTACTATATTCAGCCTTTGTGATAATTATGTTACCTACTCAAGGAGATGATAAAAAAACAAAACAAATCAAACAGCCCTTTCTGACCTTCAAAAATAAAAGAACAAATTCTGTTACTGAATACATGTGGACACTTTTGTTGGCCTTTTCACGTATGTACATGTGCCTACCTGATGATAGAAATTGGCCTTTAAATGGGATACAACAAGTTATCTTTTTCTACACATAAAAATAGAAAACTGATCACTCAGACTGTACACACTCACAGAATGTATTGACATACCACAACCAGCTACAGTATTATGCACAACATATTGTTCACACATTAGGACAGCAGAGATAAACACATTTAGAAATTTAGTAATTGCTAGTATATATTTTTCTTGTTTTCAGGCTGTGTTGACCTTTCTCAACCTCAATAAAAGATATCTCTAGGGGCCCTTAAAATAAGAATTATTCTTTCCTCTCCTCTAGGGATTGGAGAGTATGATTATAATACTGCAATCTCCTGATATACCAGCATCATTTTAAGACATGATGAAAAACATTAGGAAAAGTAAGTTACTTAAAGAAGTGATCTAAAATAAATGTTAAGGAATCTAAAATCATTAAAGATGCCGATTAACATGAGTAAGCCCTTTCTACTCATTTTATATAGTTTGCTCTATACACAGCCTTCACATGTTATTAAAAGCAATGCTATGAATCAGGAAAAATTATTTAACTGCTAGAGAGTTTTTCTAAAGAGACACAATTTTTAAAGCAACAAACAACACCACTAGCAGCGATGTCAAAAAACAAGCTATAATTTTTGCCTCAGAAATAAATGGATGACATTGTCTTAGTTAAGAGATCAAGAAAGTTGTTAGCATTTCTCTCCCATTTAATTCTTTTTAACTTGTTTAAATCACTGGGGTATCCAATCATAATTATCACCACGCTGGTTGATCATCAGTATCTTTTTCTAAAGTGTAAAATACGAGATTTTTATTCCTACTATTTTGCAGCCAATTAATTTTGAGCTTGGATCAGAAAGATACTTGATAAAGAGTTACCATTTAGAAGTGCTCATCTGGAACATCATTTTCTGTAAGGCATCATTTGAAGCCTCTTTGGATACAAGTACTCATGTTTTAGTGATTTTACATCGGGGAGCCCATTTTTTTTTCACAGCTAAAGCTGGTAATCCTCTGGGCAGAGTTAATTGAATTGCTTTCTACATGCTAGTGTCCAGAAAGAGTAATTACCATAAGTTTAAAGTCTCCATTTCAACAAAACTTCTGGTTGGAGCTGTCTTGAGTTTTAAGCCAGCAAGACTTTGAGTGGTTCCTCTTTTGTCTTGGCTAGCACAAAAACAGGGATGCCAACTGTATTCTTACAAATGATCACTAGTGTTGTACTTCCTTATGAAGCTTCCAAACAAGTTTTTCTAGGAAGAAAGCAGAAACTATGCCTTCACTTATTTTGTCCTGTGGGTTACAGTCAGTCTTCATAAAGCAAACCATCATTATATAAAGGTGTGCCCATAATAGATGCATTTGCTGGTATAACTGCCTCTTTTTGGCACATTATTGCTTGGCTTTAATTTCATATTCAACAGTCTTTATTCTCATGATAAGTATCTGAGATACTTGGGTCTTAAAAAAAACTTGTAAATTACACCTTGTTGCACCATTCTGGCCACCACAAGTCATTTCACCAAGGTCCATGGTTATTTGAATGTTCTTTATAATTATCATCACTTTGATTTACTCAATAGCCAAAAGTAATGTTTCAGGATTATTTGTTGCTGCTATCTACACATATATACAGATGTACTGGATTTACTTTGAGAGAGGTTATTTGGTTGTGGAAAGTGAGTAGTTTAGCTGGTGACTGTTCACAGTAAAAATAGCTGTAATGACCTCTGGCAGATGTCACTGATCACTTGGGAGACAGAATTTTTCCACTTCAATCAATCTTCAGTTATGTTCTTGGTCATTGCAACCCAAGCTTATTTGATTTCTGCAGCCAAGGAGAATTGTTTTCTTTCCAAGAGTAGGATAAAGTTCACGGAAATCTGTTTCAGTATTTACAAGACCATTTTCTCCCCTGTTTGCAAAAAGGTCTAAAATATTGTAGACATCCTTAAGCCCATGTATCTGCACAGATGACATTAGTAATTACTCAGCCAGTTGAAGAATTTCATTAAGAAGGATATCGTTACAAGGATGGACAGGAGATTCAGCATATTGCCTGTTATTTGCCAGGTGGCAGCAGCTGACCCAAATTTGGAGAGAATCAACCACAAAGGGCCACGCACAACATCAAGAAGCATTGCTAGCAGCAAACAAAATGCTCAGATACATATGTAAAATAACAAACAAAGAAGGGGACGATTGACTTCTGAATTCACCATATAGACAAAAACGGTGTGGGGACAAGGTAGTCGGCTCACTTATCCAAGATACTGCTGAGTTCACTGTTCTATCACAAAGGGAAATTCACAGGTCTTATTTCTCAAACACCACTAGAACAAAGCAGGAGAGAGTAAACAGCATCATCTTCATGACAGCATTAGAGATAATTAGTAAATCAGGCAGGTAGAGGTCTACACAAGGCTACAAGTCCCCAGTTTTCAATAAAAACACATATACATATGTGCAAACCTTATCCTAATGTATTGTTTTTCCTTATACTGATTCATAAAAGTAGACAAGGGATATGGTGAATTATGTGTTACTAGAAGTAGACAAAATTTTAAACATTTGGCACAATATATAGGAGGAAGAGAAGACACACATTTCTCACATTTCGGCAGCAAAACAGCAACAAAGTCAATGCAGCAAAGGCCAAACAATTTATATTAACAGCACACTTGCATGTATCCTCTGTAAACACATTTGAAAGTCACATCATACTCTGTTCTTGGTATGATATATACAGGGATTCCCAGAATGACAGGCACTCCCAGAAATGAGAGGAAAAAACATTAGTATAAGCTAGGAACGGCGAAACCTCAATATGCTGGAATACAAACGAATGCTATTTTCCTCTTCTGCTTTCTGCTTTAAGACAGCAAGCTCCTATTAATTTGATTCCGAAATCCAGCCTCTAAGGTATATGTTACACATGCATATTCAGTCCAATTTATTTCAATTTTGATGTTTAAACTTATAACACAATGAACACTGATATTCAAAACAGTATCAGAGAATTCTCAAGATTAAAAAAATTATCAAAGATCAAATTACATTCAATATAGGTGAACTTATCAAGGTAGGAAACATACTAACACATTTTATAAATATTTCATTTCAGACGCGAACAAAAAGGTTTCTGGTTAACCTTGACTTAACAGGGTGTTCAACTTTTGCCACTGACCCAAAGCACAAAGGTTAATCAGTATTTTACTCTATGTAAAGTAGTTGGTCGGTAGTATTCAAAGTCAATAATCCAGAAACACATAATTAGAAAAGCATTCAAGATAAACATGACAGCTGAAGCTGTGACATTTTTCTCATGATCATAAAAATAGAACAATCAATCAACCTTTAAATTCAAAATTTTTAGTATTCACTTGTTAATTGGTATAGCATCTTAATATTTTAAATGTTGAACTGTCTTTCAGGCATGGAGTTCATCTTTTTACTACTGGTTTAAGGAATGTTTCTTATTTCTTGATTTAATAAAATATTTCCTCTCTATATTTCAAAAATAAAAATGCATGAAAAAGAACCAAATTATATCTAAAAGAAATGAAGGGTAAAACCAAATAACTTTCAACCCAAAGTGTGTCATGCAGGTAAAGTAAGGAAAAAACTGAGCAAGTTCAAAGAGTCTGCCATAAAAACTGTCTTGCAACTTAATTTTTGAATGAACCTTAGGTTTCACAAGTAAGAAATACTAAACACCTAATGCTATGTCACAGATTGATGTGAAGGAAAATTCTTAAATAAGGTTTTATTGTGAGAGTAACTTAGGGTAGGTATCACAATATAAAAATGCTGCTGTCTTGAATAGGTCCCTATCTTATTTATCCATCTGAAGATATATTTCTGTTATTGTCCTTAAAAGCTGTTAGTTCTATAGGATTTAATGAGCAACAAAACAAACAATATTTTGTAATATTTTGTGATAATTTTTTGAGTGTTGTAGAAGTAAAGAATTTGGTTCTAGCACCAAAGAAAACCAGTTAAACTTAGTGCATTAAACAAATTTTCTTAAAGTTTTGAGTGGCATAACCACAACAGCAAATCTAGCAATTCTGATATATTTAATGTGAGACAAATGTCTACAACTCTGTCAGGCCTCTGCCTCATTTAACTGTTTACAAATCATGTGGTTATTCTAAAGTTGTGAAAATAAATATTATTACCAGATGCGAAATTCCTTTTTCTTGCCTATTTTAATGCAGGGACAGCCCGTTCTAGCCACTTCACAGCAGAGGATTACCTGGGGCCCACCCATCTGGACTAGGCATTGTTGACAGCTGCTACTGTGTACACAGGCTGTACTCTGTGTATACGCAGCATGTATGCCCACGTGGGAGGGAGACGCCAGTGAGCGGAAGCCAGCAGAGAGGTTTATGTTCTGGCAGAGGCATCCAAGACAGAAGTGACACAAACACGGCTACAAATGGGTATGTAAGGCCCAAGCAGAGAAGTTTAGGCTAAATCTCTAATCATTAATAGTAATTTGCTTGGTAATTTGATGGCAATTTTGACATTACATAGTATTCTTAATAGATACCAATGAGTAAGAAACTGAAAAATGTGCCTTATTAAAAAATTCCTCCTAAGTTCCAAATAGAACAACTATAACAACTCTCAGGCTCTGAGAATACTGGTTCACGAATGCAAGCTTTGTCTACAGTTAAATTGCTTCAAAATAAATCAAAGTCTTTTTATTAATTTAGGTTGTGCCGGGTGTAGTTTGTGCTGTTCAAGTTCAGGAATGATTTTTTTCCCTGCATATGTTCAGAATGTGCAAAGCAGAATTAAAGTGAAAAAAGCCAGAACAGATAGTGTCAATTGACTGTACCCATGGGACACATGAGTCTCTGGAGAGAATACTCATGGTTAGGTACTCTTTTCTAGCTCATCATGGGGAATGAGTTCAGAGAAGGCAATTGGTGCCTCTCCAGCGTCTAAGTCTGGTTTTCTAAATGCCAAATGGAGATCAGCACTCTCCCAACAACGTCTGCAGGAAGGGAAGCCTTCCCAGGGCTGTTGTTCGTTCCTTCTTTCCACACTACCCCCTCAAGCCACTGCTGCTCATCCAGGCCAGTGCCTTTGAGGATACTCGTGTGTCTTGGAACATGCTTCTCTTCTGGAGACACGTGAGGTCTGAGGTCAGACAGGTGCCTATGTTCCCAAGGAGCATATTCCACCCAAAACACAAGTCATGTTTTTGTAAAGGCCTCTTCTTTCATTGGGTTTGAAGAATATGAAGGATATTTCTCTTAAAATCAATAAGCTTGCTGAAGTTACCTTTTTACTCCAGAGTATACACTTAAGCAATTAGATGATAGTCTATGTACAAAAACTGAAAAGGAGCTCACGTTCTAATTTGGTGTTGACTACATTTGCTATTGGAAGTTACTGCACGAAATTAAAAATAATCACAAATTGCATCCTGTTTACAGAAGTCTAAATTAAACATTGTTTTTGTTACTTATGAGGTTTTTATCATCACAGAAAAAGCAGTGTTTGGTAATCTGCTATTTATAGTTCCTTACCAGAATCTTAGCATCCTCAGTAGAATATCACTGGAGAACACTTGTACAATATCAATTTAGTATTATCCCTAATTCGATGACTCTTTCAAGAATTCAGTCCCATGTACTTCCTCTAGGGCAAGAAAATATGAATATGTCTGGTCAGAATCACAAAGATGCACCTTGCCTTCAGTGCAGGAAAATGTGTCTATATAAATCCATGTTTAACGTAGGCAGTTTTCACATTCAAAAGCTTAGCTAATATTCCTAATGTAACTTTCTTATATTTATTAACAGCTGTAAGAAGGTTTATACAAAGGTTGTCTGCAGATGTTTACAAACATTAAATCACAGTTGGTATATTTAATGTTATCTGGCCTAGGAATGAATCAAATTTTTTCTCAATTTTTTATGATTCTTATCATCTATTTAAAATTTGTGTGGTTACAGTATTATTATTGCAATAGAACTAGAAATTATAACAATGTTTTTTGCCAATAGTGTTTTTGCTACTTCCAATATGAAGCAGGGATTTTAATGGAAATACTATTGTGTGATTAACTGAGGCAGTAATACAAAATGATACATGTATAATAATATAATAATAATGCTCTCTCTATGAGCAACATCATATTTTTAAAAACCCAGTGAGTATTCTTTTCAATTAATTAAGATTGCAAACCTTCAGTGAAGCATGTTTCTCTTCTCTTGTTCCTTCTTTCAAATTGAAATGACATTTTTGTTTATAGAGCTCTAGGTCAATTTTTAATAGCAATTTCTTACAGTGAATACTTGCTTTTCCTTCCTGGTCTTGCAAAAAAAAAAAAAAAAAAAAAAAAAAAAAAAACAACTAAGCAAGCTTTGACACAGAGGGACACATGTGAATACCATAAATTTATACAAAAACTCCCATAAATATTTCCTTTCAGTCTAACACAGAAGAAGGGGCAGGACGGACGCAGCAGTTGGGGCGTCGGAAGTTCTGCAGCATGGCCTGGAAAACACTGTGCTGCCTTCCTTTGAGCTTCTTATTTGAAGAAGTATCTGAGGAGATGGATCTCCGGGTCTGGCTATTTTGAGTTTTGATTAATTTCTCATGTTCCCTGATTTGTCTTTGTAAATGGTTCTGGATTGCGATTCCCAGGGACTCTGCATCCAAGGAAGCACCATACACTTCCCAGGTCATTCCCTGCTCATCCCACACCACGTCCCTGACACGCTTGGACTGTTTCAGCTGGAGCTTAGAGTCCGCGCCAAGCTGCTTTTTCTTCTCTCCCGAAGTGAGTCCCACCTGAGCAGCAGCTGCTGTCACATTTAACTTCTGCTCCTTGAGGAACTCGCTGACGCGGCTGGGCCTGCGGGGGCTGGCTTTGACGGAGCGAGATGGTGTCTTCTTGCTCGAACCTGGGCTGGAGTCACTCATGGGATCAGACGGCAGGCTCAGGCTTGTGGCTGTCTTGGTCTGTCTGTCTTCTTCTAAGGTACTCTCCTGGTTGTTCCTAATTGGGGAGGGTGTAGGATTAGCAGCTGATTCTGTGCCTCCACTTTCTTGAGATTTAGGATTGAGCAGCCGGGTTTTGGCTTCCGGGGTTTCGGTGCCAGTGGACTCTTTTTCTTTTACTATCTGAGGAGATGCAGGCTTCTTTTCCCTTGCATCTCCTTTATTCGTGGGCTCCAAGCTTCCAGAATGGTCAGCTTTGCCGGTAAAGCCACAAGAGTCAGATAGTTTGCAACCTGACTCTGTTTTGTGGCCATTTGTGGTCTTCTCTGCAAACTCAGACTGCATGGTTTCAAATTTTCCCAATCCATAACTTGTTTCAGCTTGACTGCATGCACTGACAGAAATCTGGTCAAGGGGGCTAGATTTCAGGGAGCTAGAATTAGTACCTGCAAGCTTTTTAGAAGTTGATTCTTCCCTCATTGGACTCATTCCTGCTAACCTCCCATCTTCTTTAAATGTATCCTGGGCATTACTGGAGGCCAGACTGATTGATGAGGTTTTAAGGACCTCATCTGGTAGGCTCACTAGTTTATTTTCCTGTTGGAAGGCTGTAGAAACAGTTGCTGCTTCCTGAATGTGTACCCGTGGCATGATGGCAGGGCACTGACGGGATTCCTGGGGGGCTAGCATGCTATCAGAGAGCTCCAATGTGTGGCTCCCACTGCTGTGGCAAATGACACGCAGCTGCTCTTGCTCAAAATGCTCAGGGGCAGGGCTTTCCTTCAGGAATGCAGTGAGGATACTGGGGCTGGTGGAGACCGATCTGCTCTCCACACTTGCCACTGCCTGTACCTCTGCATCTTGCCAAGCCCTGCTGGGAGCTTCCTTGATCTCACTTTCAGTTTGGTTGGTCATAGTACTGGCTTCTTTGAACCTTGACATCTGATGCTGTGCTGGGAGCAGCACCTTCCCTGGACCTGGAGGGCATGCCGAAGGTTTGCTAGTGACAGGGGATGGTTGAGGTGTCACTGAAGTTGTGCCCTGGGGGCCTGAGGCAGTGACAGAGGGCTGCGTGTTCTCTGAACATCCAGATTCTCTAGTTAGAGGTTTATAGGATCTCATTTCAGAGTCAAAGTTGGCTCCCTGCCTTTCCTGTTCAGGTCCGCCTGCAGGAGAGGATGAATGACTGACCACCCTGGCTGCTGTCACTGGAGTCTGCACTGTTCCCTGGATTGCTTCTGGAGAAGGAAATTCACAGGACACCTGATCTTTGCTGCTACTGAGGATGTCTCCCACAGGACAACTTGGTTTCTCAGATTGCTCTCTATTTGAGGTTCTCTGTGATCTCATCAGGGAATCTTCAGGCGTGGAAGAGGTGATGGCATTGGGCTGATCACCTGGGATGGACTGGTGGGTGTGCTGATTGGCTGGCATTGTCATTGGTGTATGTATAAGATCCCTTTCTGCTGCAGAACTTGCAGCTGGTGCCGCAGGCTGGTTGCTCCCTGGCAGCTGGGGATTGCCTGGAGAGTTGAATGTGGCAGAAGCTTTCTCCACTTCATTGAAGACACCAGGAGAAGACATATCTGGCTGGGTGGTCTCATGTTCACAAGCCTGCATCAGGGCTTCAGCAGCTGCCCTGAGGCTGAGGTCTTCTTCTGCAGGGGTACCAGAAAAGCCATTGGCATTCTTACACAGGAGAGCTGGTGGATGCTGAGGTGAGGCAGCCTGCAGCTCTCCTAGATCCTCTTCTTTTCCGGAAGCTGCAATCAAGGAAGTTTTAGCTGATCTCAGAGGGTCAGGTACAGTCCCCATGGAATTTCTCTTCAGGAGCACTCCAGAGCTCTCTCTTAAGTAGTGTTCCCACTGGTGGGGGAGGAGTGATGCAGTCAGGGCTCAGAGTATTGACACGGTCAGGGTTTATTCCTCTGAAGAGCCAGTCTGTGAATCAAGGAAACAGCATCATTAATACAGTATGTCACTTAAGGATTGAAAAAAATACCAAACTGTCATTTTTATAAGAGCATATTAAAAACTTTTCTTCCCATATCTGCTGATATAAAAATAGACTTTGGTGGAGAGAACAAAAAATAAATAAAAATAGACTTCGGAAAAAAGGTTTTGAAAACAATTATAATTACAGAAATATTATTTTGCCATATTAGTTTCTACTTGCATCCTACTAATGTCTAGCAAATAGGTTTCTCATGTATCTACCTAAGTTTGCTAACTACCTCAAAAGTTATTGGTGTAATTTGATGTAGCAGATGTCAGAAAATCCTGTAAAGTCACTCTCATTAAATCAATACGTAAGCATGGAAATAGACATAAACAGATATGCGAAATAGGAAACCTAGGGATAGATCCAAATATAAACGGGGATTTAATGTATGACAAAAGAGGCATTGCAATTTGGTGGTGAAAAGCTGAGTTCTTTCATAGAAGAAACTGGCAAACTTTATTCATCTGGAAGAAAAGAAAAGTAGATCTTAATATTTACCAATTCCAAAAATAAATCCTAGGTGGATATAGGTGGATTAAAGTTTAAAATAGAAAATAAATAAATAAAATCACATAAGAAAACCTAGGAATCATAAATGTAATCTAGGGACAGGTGAGCAGGCTTTTTCTGAGAAGGCAAATACACTGTAAGAGAAAACATAAACATAGGTGACTACAATTTGAAACCTGAATTTGATGGCATGACAAAAGATGCCATAAAAAATACAAGATATTTGGGGGAAATAAAAAGTGTATAACCCTATAGGACAGGCAAAAATACCTAAAATATAGCAGAAGCTCTTAAATATTTACAAGGTGACTAAATAACCCATTGAAAACATGGATTATGAATATAAAAACATAGTTTACAAGGTATGAAATTCAAATAACCATCAAGCTTATGGAAAGACGATCAAATTCATTTGTAGTCAAATAATGCAAATAAAGTAACAATACAATTTTACTTCACACCAATTGCGTCTGCAAAACTTAAACAAAATAGACTTTCAATAGTAAGGCCTAGGGAGACCTAGCAAAAGTATTTTGATTTTGTAGGTGCAAATAAATATGTATAGTTACAGTTTTCTTATGGAGGCAGTTTAGTTTCTAAAATGAAAAATACACATTTCCTCGACCCAGTGATACCAACTCTATCAACAGAAATGAAAACACCAGCATATATGAATACAGGGATGTTTCCTGAAGTACTATCTGTAGAAGAAAAACAGACTGGTCTTTATAAATAGGGGGAATGATAGGATAAGTCATGACATACGTCAACTACAGAATATTATGCAACCAGTAAAGTAAATAATTTGGCTGTAACTTTTCACATGGAAGAGATTTTCTCAAGATATGACTGAATGAGAAAAGGTTCAGAAAACAGTATATGCATTTTCATTTTTGTAAAACAATGATGTAAAACACTACATATGTATGCACACAGACATGCACACACACACAGATACGTTTGTGTACAATTACATAAATTCTAAAAACATTTGGCATGAGACATATTAGGCGTTAAATACAGGGGGAGTGATAAGTTGGGGACAAAAGGGGAGATGAAAGTACCCAAAGGTGGAGAAATGTTGAATCTAAAAAATCTGATATTATTTAGGGCATATGATTATGTAAAATTGTATGCGTGTGTTTATGTATAAATATTTTTTTTCTTTTCACACAGGGTCTTGCTCTGTCACCTAGGCTGTAGTTTAGGAATACAGTCATGGCTCACTGCAGCCTCAACATCCCAGGCTCAAGCTATCTTCCCACCGCAGCCTCCCAGGTAGCTGGGACTACAGGTGCATGCCACCATGCTCAGCTAATTTTTAATTTTTTTTTTTTTTTTTTTTTTTTTTTTTGTAGAGACAGGGTCTTGCCCAGGCTAGTCTTGAACTCCTGGACTCAAATCATCCTCCTGCCTCAGTTTCTGAAAGTGCTAGGATTATAGGTGTAAGCCCATGCATGTGGCCTGTATGCATTTTTTAGAAAGGATAACTAAACATTAGGTCATGTGGATAAAGCAATGGATCTGAAATTAGTGGATGACTGTGTTTTAATATTTATCATTAATAAGCCATGTTACCTCAGGCTAATCACTTAATCTTTCTGAACCCCAAACTAACTCATTGGCAAAATCAATTAAATAATATCTAAGGATACTTCCAGCTCCAAAATTCAAGGATTCCACTTCTTTGCACACGATGAATAATACATCAAACTGTTGAATCTTCACTCAGGCTACGAAGTGTCAAAATAAGGCAAAATCAAATCCAGCTGGGCTCAGGTTTTGAAAATACAGAATTTTATCTTTTAGTTCAATGTAATGCAGCTGATTTACTATTACATAAAATCTAACAATAAATGGAATGTATTTTCTCCTCTAAACAAGCTCTTCCTTCTAACTTCATTCTTTATATCAATGGGTTTAATATTTTCCCATCCCTGGTCTGAACTGCTTTCTGCTCAAACCATTTCTCTAGGTTTCTATTCTATTTCTTCCTTACGCCAGTATTCTGTTGCAAAATCACTTGCTGTGCCCCAGACAGTCTTTCACTGTCTTTTGCATTTGTATTTATTATACTTTTCCTCCCACTGTCTGCCCTCCTCATCCTCAAAAAGCCTACCCATTCTCCAAGGCCCCACTTAAATCTCATTTTTTTCTGAAGCCCTTTAAAGTCTTTTTTTTTTTTTTTTTTTTTTGAGACAGAGTTTTGCTCTTGTTACCCAGGCTGGAGTGCAATGGCACGATCTCGGCTCACCGCAACCTCCGCCTCCTGGGTTCAGGCAATTCTCCTGCCTCAGCCTCCTGAGTCGCTGGGATTACAGACACGCGCCACCATGCCCAGCTAATTTTTTGTATTTTTAGTAGAGACGGGGTTTCACCATGTTGACCAGGATGGTCTCGATCTCTTGACCTCGTGATCCACCCGCCTCGGCCTCCCACAGTGCTGGGATTACAGGCTTGAGCCACCGCGCCCGGCCCTTCAAGTCATGAAGTTTCTCAAAAAAAAAAAAAAAAAAAAAAAAAAACAAAAAAAGAAACAAACAAAAAAAAAACTCCCACAGGTTGGTTGGTCATCTGTGTCCTTTGTATTATTCTTTTCAGGCACTGTTTTTGCACCATTGTTACTTACATAAATGCCTCATTTCTCCAAAAACACGTCAAGCCCCAGAAGGAAAATAAAGAAACCTGTTGATTCTTTTGTTGACTCCACAGGGCACAGTGCAGGGTCTTGTGCATAAAAACTTGTTAATTGATCCTGTTACCCTCCAACATGCCCATTATTGCAGCTCTGTCAAATGTCAAACTTACAGGAAAACTTAATCCATGGCATGAAAGGTTAATAAAAACACAATGTAAAAGAGTGCTTTTGGAAGTGAGAAAATGGTGTTATCTTACTTATTAAACTTTACGTATCTGTAGTCCAGGTTTAGATGATTAAAACCAAGAACGCTGGGCACCTGCTGTGAAAAGTTGGAAGGTCTCATAAAGACAGGAAGACAGAATATCTCCTGTGTTGTAAGGCTGGTGCCAAGGAAGCTAGTTTGCCAAAGAAGGCTATAAAATATGAACAGCTCAAAGTTCGGCAACTGAAAGTTAAAAGATTTAGATGAAGATGACTTCATAAAAGTCTCAGAAGTCCATTGCATTTACTTTTATTTCCAACACACAGCTGTTTAACTTTGAAAGGGTGTTCTCTTTCATTTGCTTTGCTGATAGAGGTTTAATTGTCCATCAATTGAAGATTAAGAAGAAAAACCACCACATTGCTTGGCTAACACCTAGCACTTGAAATCTCTGGATTTATGCATAGATAACAAATCAACATTACTCTCCAACCTGTCTGCTAATGGAATTGTCACCGCATCTCCCCGAGCCCAGAAGACTCACCCAAGCTCTGAACCAACACTCCTTCCCTCCCTCACTAAATGGGAGAAATCTATAGGTTCCAGTAGGTCAGACAAATTGGACATTTAAAAAGTATAATTACTTGTTGGTTTGGAGTGGGGAGTATGTGTGTCTTTATCATCAACCAGAGTCCATTATGATAACAAAATTTAATAACTTGCACTAAAAATGAAGTGCAAATGGGTGGTCCCCAGACTGAATGAGTCCCTTCTACAGAAGGGTGTGATTGCATTACTGTGTGTGTGTGTGTGTGTGTGTGTGTGTGTCTAGTGTATGTCCTGCATGGTTTTCCTTCTTCCTTCTCTTCCTCTTTCCTTTCCCCTTTCCCATCCCTTTCTTTTCCTCCTTTCTCTTTTTTTAAACTTATTTTTAGGTTCAGGGGTAAATGTGCAGGTTTGTTATATAGGTAAACTCCTGTCACAGGGCCTTGCTGCACAGATCATTTCATCACCCAGGTATTAAGCCTAGTACCCATTAGTTAGTTTTTTCTCACCCTCTCCGCCTCCCATCCTTCACCCTCTGATAGGCCCCAGTGTTGATTATTCTCCTCTGTGTGTCCATGTGTTCTCATCATTTAGCCTCCACTTAAAAGAGGACATGCAGTATTTGATTTTCTGTTCCTGAATCAGCTTGCTAAGGATAATGGCCTCCAGCTCCATCCACCTTCCTGCAAAGGACATGAACTCATTCTGTTTTTATGGCTGCATAGTATTCCATGGTATATATGTATCACATGTTCTTTATCTGGTCTATCATTGTTGGGCATTTAGGTTGATTCTTGTCTTTGCTATTGTGAATAGTGCTGTGATGAACATACACATGCATGTGTCTTTATGACAGAATGATTTCTATTCCTTTGGTATGTACCCAGTAATGGGATTGCTGAGTTGAATGGTAGTTCTGTTTCTAGGTCTTTGAGGCATCGCCACACTGTTTTTCATAATGATTGAACTCTTTCCCTTTCCTTTCCCTCTCCCCTTCCCTTTCTTTTTCTTTTGAATTGAAGAGCTCTTTCATAAAAATC